CTGTCAGGGAGAGATGAGAGACAGTGAGAGATAGTGGCTGTGTTGATTATCAGAAGAGATAGAGAGGGAGACAATGAGATGGAGGCTGTGTTGGTTAGAAGAGATATAGAGATGGAGAGACAGAGTAAGAAGGATGGATGGGGATGTTGATGTGCAAAGGAGAAAGAAGAGAGATTAGGGGAGATGGAGACTGTTTATGTTCCTGGGATGGAGGGAGAGACGGAGGCAGGGAGAAACAGAGCGTGAGATTGAACCTGTACAGTATTGATGAGAGAGAGAGAGAGAGAGAGAGAGGAGAGAGAGAGAGAGAGAGAGAGAGAGAGAGAGAGAGAGAGAGAGAGAGAGAGAGAGAGAGGAGGGAGAGAGACAGCAGAATGAGAAATGTTAAACACAGAATATAAACTATTATAATAACAGTTTATATACCAACATTAGTACTCTAAATGTATATGAACGTTTGTATTAACCCACACAAGTTTACATGGGTTGAACTCCATGCCACTAAACTTTACATCGGCTGACTTACTCTTAAAGTTACTTTGCAATCAAAAAATCAGTCTTATATTTACGGTAGAATCAACAGTCTTAAATTATCTCTAAATCAATAAAAAAAAAATATAGTTTCCTAGATTTTTTCAGATTTATTCCAATTTTTGAGATACATAAAATCATTTTATTGAATTTTGACGATTCTTGAAGTGATTTTTTTTTTATTAATAATATTGAATTTTGTTTTAATTCTTAATAAACTGCATTGTAAGTTTCCAGATGATCAGACTTGTGCTACACTTGGGTATCTTTACTGTGGAAACGTTTCGCCCAGCCACTGTGTGCTGAAACGTTGCACAAGTCTCATAAGAACATAAAGAAGGAACTCTGCAGCAGGCCTACTTGTCCATGTGAGGCAGGTCCAAGTCTCCCACCGGCTTAAGCCAGTGACTTAACGTAGTCAGGTCAGGTCACATTCACTTAAGGAAGGAGCACGGCATCTGACCTAGTAGCACAAGCTAGTCAGGTCCAACTCACACCCACCCACACCCACTCATGCATTTATCTAACTTGTTTTTAAAATTACACAACGTTTTAACCTTTATAACTATGCTCGGGAGTTTGTTCCACTCCTCTACAACTCTATTGCCAAACCAGTGTTTTCCTGTATCCTTCCTGAATCTGAATTTTTCCAACTTAAAACCATTGCTGCGAGTCCTGTCTTAGCTAGATATTTTTAGCACGCTATTTACATCCCCTTTGTTCATTCCTGTCTTCAATTTATACTCCTCGATCATATCCCCCCTAATTCTACGCCTTTCGAGAGAGTGCAGATTCAGGGCCCTCAGTCTTATCCTCATAGGGAAGATTTCTGATACATGGGATCATCTTTGTCATCCTCCTCTGTACCTTTTCCAGAGCTTTTATATCCATTCTGTAATACGGTGACCAGAACTGAGCAGCATAGTCTAAATGAGGCCTAACCAAGGATATATAGAGTTGAAGATTGAGACACTTATGCAGCATATGGGAATCTTTATTCAGGAAACGTTTCGCCACACAGTGGCTTCATCAGTCCAATACAAAGAGGAAGGCGTAAGGAGAGGAGGAGAATGAGGTAATCAGTCCCTCAACCTGGAGTCGATGTGTTCAGTCCATCAATCTTGTAGAATGTACAGCATAGGGCCGTAGACGTGGCTTATATACTGTAGTGAGGTGACGTGAAGCAGGTGGAGGCGGGGTCATAGTGGTACCATCCACTATGTGGATGGTACCACAATCTTCAACTTGTCGGTTTTTCAAACCATTCATCACAACTGTCAGACACTGCAGCATCATGGGATCTTGTTACAAAGAATTCTTCAACACTTGTTCAACCTTTGGACGAAGACCTACTTCGACTAGTGGATGGTACCACTATGACCCCGCCTCCGCCTGCTTCACCTCACCTCACTACAGTATATAAGCCACGTCTACGGCCCTATGCTGTACATTCTACAAGATTGATGGACTGAACACATCGACTCCAGGTTGAGGGACTGATTACCTCATTCTCCTCCTCTCCTTACGCCTTCCTCTTTGTATTGGACTGATGAAGCCACTGTGTGGCGAAACGTTTCCTGAATAAAGATTCCCATATGCTGCATAAGTGTCTCAATCTTCAACTTGTCGGTTTTTCAAACCATTCATCACGATATATAGAGTTGAAGAGCAACCTGAGGACTTCTATTATTTATACTTCTAGATATGAAGCCAAGAATTCTGTTAGCTTTATTGCGGACACTAATGCACTGTTGTCTTGGTTTTAGATTACTGCTAACCAGAACTCCTAAATCCTTTTCGCAACCGGTAGTATTAAGATCTACATTATTTAGTTTATATGTGGCATGGTTATTTAACTGTCCAACATTTAGAACTTTGCATTTGTCAATATTAAACTGCATCTACCACTTCTCCGACCATTGCATCAGTCTATTCACGTCTTCCTGGAGTGCTCTAATGTTTCCAGACGGAAAAAAAAGCCTTATGTCTTAAATTTCCCCCAAAAATGCATTCTGTCTTTAAGAATGCATTGCTTTGTATTTTCAGAAAATGCATTATCTCTTCAATTAAAAAAATGCCTATAGCGTCTCGAAATTTTTGTGAACTCCATCGCTGCCAGTCACTACACTCGTCCATATTACTATCACCACCACCACTATTAACACCACAACTATTAACACCACCACTATTAACACCACCACTATTAACACCACCACTATCAACACCACCACTATCAACACCACCACTATCAACACCACCACTATCAACACCACCACTATCAACACCACCACTATTTAACACCACCACTATCAACAATCACCACCACCATTATTAACACCACCACTATTAACACCACTATTAACACCACCACTATTAACACCACCACTATTAACACCACCACAATAACACCCACCACTATCATACAAACCCCCACTATCAACACCACCACTATCAACACCCACCACTATCAACACCACCCCTATCAACACCACCACTATTAACACCCACCACTATCAACACCAACCACTATTAACACCACCACTATTAACACCACCAACTATTAACACCACCACTATAAACAAACCACCACTATAACACCACCACTATTAAACCACCACTATCAACACCACACTATCAACACCACCACTATCAACAATCACCACCCCATGATTTTAACACCACCACTATTAACACCACTATTAACCACCCTATTTACACCACTATTAACCCACCACTATTAACACCACCACTATCAACACCACCACGATTTAACCACCACATCAACACCACCACTATTAACACCACCACTATTAACACCACTATTAACACCACTATTAACACGCACCACTTAACAACCACCACTATTAACACCACCACATTAACACCACTATTAACACACACTATTAACACACCACTATTTAACACCACCACTATTACACCACCACTATTATACCACCACTATTAACACCACCACTATTAATACCACCACTACAACACCACCACTATCACCACCACCACTATCACCACCACAACACCACCAATATCACCAACATCACAACAATCATTAACATAACCACCATATTACCACCGATACCTGCACCACCATCACCGACATCAACCACCACAACAACTACTACTACCACCACCACAACAACCATCACCACCACCACAACAACAATCATCGCCACCACCACCACAACAACCATCATCACCACAACAACAACCATTACCACCATCACAACAGCAACAACCACCGCTACCACCACCACAACAACAATCATCACCAACATTACCAGCTCCCAAAGTGTCATCAACGCCCAAATTAACTTCGTCCCATAACATGGATTTTTGACAGCCATCATTACCTTCAACACGCCTGGCTCAGGGCTCGGGGCTCAGGGTTCGGGGCTCAGGGTTCGGGGCTCGGGGCTCAGGGTTCGGGGCTCGGGGCTCGGGGCTCAGGGCTCGTGGCTCAGGGCTCGGGGCTCAGGGTTCGGGACTCGAGGCTCGGGGCTCAGGGCTCAGGGTTCAGGGCTCGGGGGCTCGGGGTTCAGGGCTCACTGCTTGGGGTTCAGAGCTCGGGGCTCAGAGTTCAGGGCTCGGGGCTTAGGGTTCAAGGGTCAGGGTTCCGGGATCAGGGTTCAGGGTCATCACGAATCTAAAAGAAACAAACACAAATGTTCAGCTTACAAACGAACAAGGAAAATACTGATACAGTGTGTATGTTTATACACACCTATAATGTTCCAGTACACAGTGTGAATGTTGACACACCTTGTATATTGGTATATACAGTGTCTACGTATACATTAATGACTATGCAATAAGATCACAGTAAACAGGTGATATCACAATATGCATAACCAGCCACTGTGAAAAATGGTGGATTTCCAAGCGCTTTCGTGATTTATCAGAACAAGGACCTGTCCTTGATAATGTGAGAAATCACGAAAGTGCTTGGAAGTCACCTAATTTTTCACAGTGGCTGTTTTGCATTAACGTGTTTGTATTACCAGTTTATTTGGTGATGCTGCAGCAGTGTACAATTATGAACGTCTTCGGAGAGCGTCTTTATTTGCAAAGTCGTGGTGGGTACACAGGCTTGTGTGTTTGTGCCCATGGCCCGGGAGGGCCATGCCCACGAGGGAGAGAGGAGTAAGGGCCTGTTGTCTGAGTCCAGGCCGCTGAGTGAGGGAGGCAGGAACCCGGCCGCTTCCTCCTCTCCCACCCACAACACAAGGAGAGACACTGGACGCAGAAATCACCACAAAACACACCTCTGCCTTGCTGAAATAGCTGTGCTGAGCTGAACAACAACAGCAGAACATACAAGTGACGCTGAACACGTGACTTGAGAAACAGCGTGGGACGCTGTAGCGTGGGGTCACTGGGACGCCACTTACAATTCTCAAAGAAATTCGGCAAATTTCGGCTAGATCTGCTTGTACCTGTGTCTGGATGCTGAAACG